AGCCCCAATATATCGCGCACCAGGCTCTGATGATTAGGCCGCATGTTGCGCAAGCCAGCCCCCCGGATACCGCAGCGTGCACCGTTTTCGCGCCGGGGAGTGGAGGCCAAGGGTTGACTTGGTCAAGATGAATGAAATGCCTCGCTTCGAAGTTAGTGTCGGTTGATGTCCGGGAGAAGGTACGGATTTCCCGGAAAATCCACCATTGCAGTTATTATTCGACTGTTAGCGGTTATCGTATGGACTTCGAACTTTCCGGAATGTTCTAACGCTGACACGTGACTGTCAACCTCCTGAAGATCGGCAAAATCTGTGTGGAAACTAGCCTGGGCAGTTGACATTCCTATTCCAAAAGTCGAAGGTCAGTGAGAGAGTTATAAATACAACCAAGGTCTGCTGCAGTTCTACACTGTTTTGTTGACGACGGTTAACACGTTATTTTGTCAAGGAGATTGGCGCTCTGATGTTCCTTCGGTTGAGTTTTGTGGAGCAGTAAAGTGCCTATTTCGGAATCCCGACTGCTAGACTGGGGAACGAAGGACGATGAACACGTTTGATTAGCGAAAAGTCGAACTCAATGGCGTTTGTGTGTCTCTTTGTCCATCTCCTCCCCTTTAGCTTCCCCCTCCCCAACAACGATCTCAAACCCTATGAATAATCTGATATTTATCATTGCTACTCTTTACAGCTTTTTAGGTTGTATTGTCTAGTCTCTTTTCTTTAGATATTGCAGCATATTAGCTGAGGTGTGTTTCTCACCCTCGGCTAACGCGTATTGATGATGACGGTGATAACTTACATGCCACCTTGATTCGTGATGGCTTATGAAGGTAGTCGTATATCTTGGGCCAACTATGACATTTGTATGCTCATAATATGCGTAACAGCGGAGAACGAGCAGCACTATTTCGCAGTTAGAAATACGTGATGACCGTCCGCCTCCATCACCTATGGTTCAGTGGTATTAATTGTCGACTAGCAAGAGGAAGGTTATGAGTTCGAGTCCGAGAGGATTCGGCGGATGCGCGCCACTAATGTGTTCCAGTAAGACGAAACAGTCGGCTAGCATTTTCATGAATGTGTGGTCTGTGTGGCTGATGTTACCTACAATCAAGTCTTTTCGATGACAATAAAAAGCGACTAACCTTCCTACTATTCGCTATTACTGTACTAAGTTGTGATAGGAGCGCCCTAGCAGAGCAAACAGATGAATACAAAAATATGAGTCAGAGAACCAGCTTGACAGATTATACCACTGGACGCACCAGGTGTAGTCTTTCATCTACATAGCTGATCTTGTCGAAGGAGGAACCTAATTGGCCTAAAAATGCCGTTGTTTGTGGAATTGTACAGGAAACATATATCAACGCGTTCTACGAGTTAAAAGTACCGTGACTTCCGCTGATTTGTCGTTGGTGAATACATGATTTTTGAGATACAAATGACAAGCGTAAATAAAGTGGATATGTGACCACAGGAAAGATATCAAAGGGAATCCATGTGGCCACACGATTAGCAATGGGAAAGTGCAGACAGGAAGGCACTAGCCCGCCCAAGATCGGGTCCTTTAGGTCATCATCATCATCATCATACACGTTAGCTAGAGGTGGGGAACACCTCAACTACTGTGCCGCAATACATAGAAAAAGGGAAAAGAAAGCAACTGGTGCAAGCCAGCTGAGCTACAGGTAACGGATGGGCATTGTTCCGGTAAGCTACCAGCCGGCTACTGTGCATCAAAAAGAATTACTATGCAAAATTATATGAGGCTAAATAATGAGATCGTGGTTGGAGGTGGGGGCTATAAGGAATGGGGAGGGACAAAGAAACTCACAGCAGGAACGCCAATGAGGTCGCCTCCTAGCCATATCAGCAAGTGTATCTAGCCAAACGTGTTCATCGTCTTTTAGATCCCAGCCAGGGAAGCATGCAGCTCCAACCGAGACGCGTTTCGAATTGAAGGCCTTCATTCCTCTCGACCAAGTTATCGCTTGGCCATCCCTCCTCTTCTTACATCCACACCCCCGGCGCGCAAACAACGCACGTCGCGGGAGTCGGTGGGTTGGCATGCGTAACACGTGGCCGAGCCATCGGAGTCTGGTGCGTGAAATGATGGTGCTGAGCGGTTCAGTTCCTTTTCCTATGCCGTCGAACACGCTCGTTGCTCACGCGGTATTTCCACCAGATGTGAGCTAAATTGCGAAGACACCGGTGGTAGAACGTAACTAGCCTCTTTATGTCCGTTGATTAAAGGGGCCAGGTTTCACAACCGTACAGTAGGGTCGAACGTACCGCTGCATTGTACACTCTACCCTTCAGGGCAACAGTGATGTTGCGCCGGTGCCATAAGTGGCGAACGTTAGCAAAGGCGCCCCAAGCTTTTGCTATACGGTTCGTGATCTCATCCTCAATCCCACGGGGGCTGATACAACTTCCCAGGTAGTTGAATTTCCGAACGACTTCTAGCTGATCCCCACCAACGGTCAGCGAAGGAGGCGGTCCAGACCAATCTTGGAGGAACGCTTTGCACTTCGAGGGTGCGAAGCAAAGCCCGAAGTGACGGACAGGTAGTGCTAATCTGTCCAGTGCCGCTTGGCACGTCTGGGAGCTGTCACAGATTAGGGCAATATCATCAGCATACTCTAAGTCAAGAAGTCGTTCTCCTGGGAGCAGATTCACACCTTCTAAGTCGTGTCCTGTGAACGCGATTTCCATGATTTCGTCAACAGCGAAGTTGAAGAGGAAAGGTGACAGCGGGCATCCTTGTCTCACACCGCTGGAGATATTAAAGGGCGACGACAGCTTGCCGTAAGTCCTCACTCTGATCGAGCTACACGCATATAATGCTCGGATTATATTTACATATTTCTCAGGTACACGTTTCCTGAGTAGACAGTCCCAAAGGTATAGCGAGACAATGAATACTAGTTGAGTGGAAACTAGGCTATGTGGCCCACCAAATAGACGTGGTAGACCGAATGTAATTCGGAAGTGGCCGCAGTCAAAATAGACCTAAAGGTTAATTGGTCGACTCAGTAATGACTGAGGAAACCCATTCGATCATCAGTAGGAGTGCAGAATGTGACGTTGTGGTCATACTAATCAGAGTGCGAAATGAAATAGCGTCCAGTTAAATGAAACACAAGCTAGCGAAGAAGTGGCAGAGGCTCGTGTTGGTCATCGCTCCATCAACTGTTTAAGTAGACTGTAACACTAAGGCTCGATAACGTCCACATAAGTAGCCGGCCAGGGTAGTTGCCTTTACGAGGGCAGAGCGATAAGTTACCGGATACGCAGTACACAGATTAGGTGCAGATGACTTGGGGAGAACATAGTTCTGTGATTTCAACTCACAGAACCCTATATCAGTAGCCCAGCACAGTTCAAAAGTTATAAGGGCCGCCATACTCTACCTGTATGCATTGAACTCATTAGATGTCATTTGAAGGCGATGAATTTCTATGACTACAAATGTGATTTAAAGTGGTACCAGTTTTGATAGATAGCGTGCTGTTTTGGTTGATGATGCGCCTTTAAGAACCGCTGTGTTTGAGTGCTTTGCGGAGTTCGAGCGTGGCATGCGGTCCCTGGATGACGACTGTTGTACTGTTGCTAGCTGCCCTATGAGACTGCGACTGTCTGACTTCTCAGTCACGCGCCAATCCAACCGACGGAATACAGAAGACCAAGGCTCAGTAATCAGGGAGTCTATCTACACCATGTTAACTGTATTTATAAGTAGCCGAAACATGCTAATTTAGGAGGTCAAGACTGCTCATTTTTGTGCGTCCGGTTTTCAGCCAGTGTGAGTGAGTTCCACTCCACGGGTTTATCATATTGACGGTATAGTTCGATTCGTTTTACGCGGACTGGTAATTGCTGGCCGATCAATTCTCAGTAGATACCCAACTTTAGCTCCGCTTACGTCTCTATTAAAATCAAACAACAATGGGCTCAGTGGACGACCGTTGGTGGGACGCCGCCTTAGAAATTCCGACGTGAGTACATCGTGGCCAAGAAGTCAGCGACTGTGTTTGTGGCCAATGGCTACTGTACCACTCGTACGACAACGCACATTCACCGAAGATTAGTATGCCACCCAATGCCTGCAACAATTGCTGGATGTTCAAGACAGGCGTCGTACAATGACTCGAGCAAGAGTGACCTTGCTGCATCATGACAACGCACCTGCACACAGGTCCCATGTCATAGTAGATTTCATGGCTAGAGAACGCATCCAGGAGGCTGGTCACCCACCCTACAGTCCAGACGTGGTTCCGTGTGGCCTATTGTGTTCCCAAATGTCAAGCGCATGTTGCGCGAAATCCGCTATGAGTATCCGAAAACTGCAGTAGAGGCCTTTATTGAGCTGCTTGCAAGGTTACCCGCTCCGACATGGTCTAGCTGCTTCCCCAAACGGTCTGATCGCATGGAACTGTGCACGAACGTTGGTGGAGAGTATTCTGAGAAATATAATGCTTATTTTGTAAAAACAAAACTTTTGTGCATTTGGAAACTTATTGCTCTACCCTGGTACAATCGACACAGTAGCTGAGGTATTCCCCACCTCTAGCTAACGTGTATGATGATGATGATGATGGTACAATCGACTAAACTACACGAAACACTTAGGTGTTTGCCTAAGAAAGAACGATCACGTGGCGAAAACACAGATAGAGGCGTAATCTGCAGTCGTTAGAAAAAGAGAATTTCTTTACTGGTTCGCCCCAGCAGTTCACAAGCGCGGTAACCTAACCGTCAATGTGAAAAAGCACAAGAGGATCGTCAGATGATTGCATCGATATATAAAGGATCCTCCTGGAAGTTTCTTCGCTGCAGCACTGGCCGGTAAATGGAGGAAGCATAAAGCGTACAGGAGCACAATGAAATAGCCACGATCTACATTGCAAGAATTGACCGCAGCGGTCTGCGGACATTGTATGTGTAAAGAAGACAGACCGAATTAAACAGCAAATGGAATGTACCGTCACAGCAATGGCTTACACTGATCTGTTCGTCCGAAGCAGCCGCGCAATGGCCTCCTGCTCCGTTTTGGGTTGGGACCGAATCCATCTGGGTAAACATCCCGGAGGGAAATGCAAAGGACCAGACACGTTTGTTAAGCCCGATCGATCATATCTTGATCTCATTTGGCGCGTAGTCTTTTTCGGTTCGGCTGGCACAAGGCAATGCGCACTAAGCGAAATAGTACCCAGAACACTAGTAGGGTCGGGGGCAGAGGGGAGGCCAGATAATGGCCGCAGATTGTCTAGCTTTCGAGCCTCCTCACTGCTCAGCAGCAACTGGTAAAATAAAGCCGGTGGCCGACGAAAGTGACGCAATGGCACGGTGACTCTGAGAAACATAAAATGTGAAAAAGACAATGCATCACTCGACAACCGAGGGAACAAAAGCGGGACGGCGCGGTGCGTTTAAAAAGAACGTAAACAGCACAAAAGGAAACTTGGGCGGATCCATCGCGAACACAGAGAGAATCAGCGCTCTCAGGGGTGACGTATGAAAGGGGATAATCAAGGGACTCATGCAACGCGAGTGTTCTTTCGCTATCAGACAACTCATTCGCCGAAAAAATTGGAAAAAAAGTAGAGGAAGGAGGAACACACAGTAAGAACCGAACAGGAATCCATTGATTTGTACGTGCGTCGATAATCCATAGGAAAAGATTCCCAGCTAGGAATGCGTGATAAAAGACTCCCTGCTGTCACGAAATTGGAGTTGCCTCTCTGGCAGACCGGGGAAGAGTATCCAGCCTCAAGTGACCAGAGACAACGGTTGTGGTTTACTGAAATACCCTACTAGATTATGTAGTACAGTATAGTGACACAGGGTGTTCTCCATACATTCGAAATGACCATGTACTAGAAAGTAGTTAAGAGCGGTGGCGATAAACAGAAAAGTTTGGAGACTGCAACTGATATGAACATCCTTATCAATGATGTGATCAACATAGATGGAAGTAACAGCTGCACTTTTAAGTATCTGGGATTGCATTCTACCAAACTGACAGTTCATCAGCAAATCCAGCCACAGGATCTGTCAACATATTTTTCGTCTGGTTCACCAGCGGATGGAAACACAACTCAAGCTGCCATGAAAACGCTGCAGAACAGGCCGACCGGTTTATTCGAATCACCTACACAGTGATAAGTGCAAGCGTTCCGCGTGCCAACCATCTGGTTGCCTCAGAGTACAGGCAGGCAACAGAGTTACGCCGGCACACCGTACTGACACTTCGCTGCCACGCCATCACCACAGGTCGAGCGTAGACTAGGTAAACCGCAAAATCACCCGCACCTACATAATATTACATTATACACGTTTGCTAGAGGTGGAAAACACCTCAGTTACTGTGCCGCAATACATCAACAAAAAAAGTGCAACAGATGTATGGCAGCTGAGCTACAAGTAACGGATAAGCATCGTTTCGAAAGCTACCAGTCGGCTACTAGGCAACAAAAAATTATTATGTAAAATTATATTATGCTACGAAATGAGATCGTGGTTGGAAAGGGAGGTTAACAGGGTTGAGGAGGGTCAAAGAAACACTGCACGAGCGCCAATGAGGTCGGCTCCTAGACATGTCAGCAAGTGTATCCAGCAAAAATGTTCATCGTCTCTTGGACCCCAATGGGCACATCTCGCCACCGAATCGAATGTACCTTTGATATAGAGAAACACGACAACGGTGGGCCGCCATACACATACAAGTGCATGGTCGGTGTCCACACGGGCTCCAAATCGAGCGACAGTTCTGAAGGCAGGCTCACCAGCGGTAAACTGACCGAAATGCGATTGATTTGCGTCCAAGCCTGCCGGGCGCCTGGTCAGTCTCCGGCGGGTGCTGTGTCGGAAATTATTGCACGCAAGAAATAAGTGAGCATCTTCACACAAATGACGTAACCGCTCACCGTTATCATTACGGGAGCCTACACCATGTTGGCTGCCAGATGCAGTTCATCAGTCGATAATTTTCCAACTTGAGCGTTCAGAGCCCCAGCCAGTACTACAGTGTCCATGCTTCTTCTGTGGCGAAGGAGCTCGTTCGATTGGCGATAGAAGTGGTCTTTTACAGAGTCATTGCTAAATTGCAAAAGTATAGGCAGCGATGATGAATAGACACCTGTTAGTACCGCGCAACTCCGAAGATTTGAACGAGCCAGTAAATCGGACCGCACAGATCCGCTTACTGATTGGGATCTAATCAACCAGAGAAGCTTCAGCCCGGGGACTTAGGGCAATACGAACACCGACTTAGCCGGTACTCGAAGCTGAGCGGACAGGTCTCCGATAAGCAGCAGATATCGATCGAGAGAGTCTCTAATGTTCGGGCGAGTGCTGCCTGTTGACTGTTCCGTAGCAATGTGCGTAGATTGTGGCACACCAATCTGAAAGAGGAGCGCGGGCTCCAAATGGAAGCCGATGAACTGGAATGGACCGCTTGGTTGGACATGGGCTTGTCGACAGAGGAGTGACGCTTCGCGTTCACATGTGAGTTGAAACTAGAAGATAAATGCCTAGCAAAGCATGTTGGGGGAGGGCCAAGAATCGGGGGGTTGAAAACGGAGGAGAAAAATGAAGATAGAATGGGACGATTATGGTGACAAAGGGTAAAAGGGGAGTAAGAAGATGGGGAGGCCTGAGTAGTTGCATCCAAACCCCTATCTACCCCGTGAGATGCACCTGATAGGGCACGGTTGATCATTCGCTGCGGTGGCCAGAGCATCAGGAAATTGTTTGAGGAACGATTCACAGCATTGCGAGGGCAGGGTAATGTCAGGTTGCCTAGGTCTAGACAGGAGAACGATTAGGGTTCATAACCAAAGCCTTTGATTCAAAAACCTGACCGCAAAACAGAGGGTTTGGCGGTGGGCTACAAGGAGTCCGTTTTAAGGAATAAAGCGCCACTCTCATTCACACCTCCAAACTGGAGGACCAGGAGGCTATGTCCATCTGGCCTCGAACCATTGACCAATCTGGTGTGAGTGGCTTCGAAAGTGCAAAAAACACCATCCAGCATAGCTCGATGTATCTCTGAGGGATGCAAACCACTGCACCACGGTAAGGTCCAGCACCTGCGCGGGTTCGAACCGATGACCTCCGGATCACAACGCAGGCAAGCAATATTTTCGGCCTCAGAGTGTAATGTTGACCAATAGTGCGAGTAGATGGGTGCAATGCCAAGTTGATCAGTCAATAACACGGCAAAGGAGCATGATGAAACGCAGACCGGTTCAGTTCAGTGGAACAACTATAATTTGGGCACGGAAGTGCGGTGGAATCGCCAGCCACTACTGGCATCGACAGGATAGCAAGAAGTAACGATGGTAAGAAAATAAAGTCGAACGCAAATGCATAATGAAGAGAGTGGAATAAAAAACAGGGAACAGCTTCAATCGAGATAGTATGTAGTTAACATGTGACCAATAAAAAACTGGTAGTGTGCCATGAGTAAAAACAAGTAAAAGGAGGAAAGGAAACAGTCAGGTAAAAGGGTGGAGGATTAATGTGTTGCGTGGGCAATGAGCTTCCTGGTTGCCGAGGCCAAAAAAGTGGGTTAACTTAAGGGACCCCACTCTGAGCGGTTGATTTTAAGAATCCGACCAGTAAGGCAAGGAGGCGATTCAAGCAAGTTGCTGAATACGAAGACCGTTGACAACCAGGTGGCTCATGTGCCTTTTTTGTGTTCGGTTGCAGCCCACAGAGAAGCCGGTGACCAGCAAGGTTGTTCATTCTCCCTCTGATAGGTACTCACCACTGGGTACACAAATGAGTGGTCAGTGACGCTACAACAGGTCACATTGGCTTTGACGCAGGACCGTAGGAATTCTTGTGGTGGTTGTGGGAAAACCAGGTGACCAGCCCAGCGAAAGACCGAGTCTGGTTTGTGCTTATCGTCTTCGCAGGTGGTCTTAAGAACTGGGCAGATTAATGACTAAATAGTTTGTTAGGGATGCCCTTGGAGTTGTTCCGCTTTAAACACCAGTTGTACTGCCGTACTGCTGTACCAGTGAGACTGCGACCGTCTGTCGGCTCAACCACGCGCCCAACCAACAGGAGGAAACCAAAAACCCAACGCTCGGTAGACAGGGGTAGACAGAAGTTCTCTCACGACATGATATGAAATCCTAGAAAATACAGAGAAATTCACCTCGCTCATTATACCAATCCTTGACTATGGTGTGCCAGTTTACCATCCGATAACCCAATGGGAAAATGAAAAGCTGGAGAAAATACAGCATATCGCAACTAAAGTGATACCGAGTCTACAAAAGCTTCCGTATGAAAAACGTTGTGAAAGGCCAGGACTCTACACACTATCCTATCGCCGAGTAAGAATTGACCTTATTATGACCCATCAAGTACTACACTTGAATCACTTCCCCATACTGCGGCCAATATTCCACCTGTGGGAACCCTGTAACACCCGAGGACACCGTTAGAAACTCAGGGTCCCCAACATGAACAAAGTATCACATCAGATTTGTATCGAACGAAGAATCGTAAACTTATGAAATACACTACCCGAAGGATTAATAGAGGCCGATTCTGTGAAGTGTTTTAAAACCCGTGTCGACGATTATTTCGGAAAACTGTGCTTTTGTGAAATGACGCACATACAATGCCAAAAGAAGACATTGTATGCCCGGAAATAATGACACTAGTACAAATTCCTGACTGAACAAGGAGAAACGATTACAGGACCAGACACAACCGCTGATGATTCACAACTAAGTGTTTTTGATTTTTCGTAATTCGATAGAGTTGTACAGAAACCTTTCTACTTGCTCTTAAATACAGTCTCAGTCTCTCTATTTATTGACAAACCATACATACCAATTTTGGAAAGCACGGTCACCCAATTTTCGGCGTCTGGCCCTGAGCCAATATGAACGAGTTCCGTTCCACCGGTTTGCAATATTTGGTAAAATGGTTCGCCATCGCTCAAACCCCGGACACCGGCTTGAATTCGCTGGGCAAGCAATCCTCGCCTGATTCCACAAACTGGCGGAATAGGCGAAAGCGTTCACTTCCGTGCGCGTGGCCTTCACACGCAGCTGGCTAATCACGTGCTCTCCGGCAAGCTGACGCGTACTGTAGCCACCACGCGTGGTTGTCGCATTGTGCGTGGGCATTGACCCCGCTTGGGTCTCTATTACATCCCCTTTGAATTGTTTATCTCCAGCTTTTCTTCGCACCTGGCTCTGGACGTAGTTTTTTACCCTGGGGTCCACTTTCAGCAATCGCGGTTGCCTCCGCCTTCGGGCTGGCCCTGTATGATGATGGGGTCTGCGAAACCAATTGTGTTCCTCTTTGGCGATCGAACCCAAATGTATCTAACAGCATGTCCCATTGCACCGCTGTCGGTTCTTAAGGTCCCTACGTGTTTCCACGCCGCAGTCGCAAATGATTAGCGTGCCTAATCCAGTTATCATTTGTGACCATTATCTCCTAGATAACTTTGCCCCTCTTACCAATAACCGTTCCGCCCGACCATCTTCCCGGTGCTTTGAAAGTTTCATGCGTAAACCAAATCACCAAACTCAAACGTACGGAGCCTGTTTGCCTGCTCTGTTCGTCCGTTGAGTTTTTCCGCATTTCTGGGGCTAAGGCTGTCAAAAGTAAGTTTCTTGACTTGTCATTACTACCATATACACCTGACTGACTGATCAAGCAAGTTCAACTGGTTCACCCAATCGAATCCCAGCAAACTGAGTCCTGGATGATTTGTCACAAAGCAGGTTGCGTGAATGCGTTGATGCTGAAAACTAACCAGACAGTGCAGCTCTCCACATAATTTTAGGGCACATTCAGATGCGTTCCGTGCTGTGTGGCTAGCGTGTACAAGCGGCAGTCGTCCCATCATGCACCAGGTGTTTCGACAGATCAGCGTGATGTCTGATGCGGTATTCAGCTGCAGCTAAAGTTTTTGTCATTGAACGACAACATGGTATCCTTAAATCTGCTGATACCATTGACTTCGAAAGTCACCGTCACAGTTCTGGTCAAACTGTAACGTCGGGGACTCATTGGAATTAGACGCTGTTTTCCGCTGATGGTAAGTCGCTTCGCGAGACAACACGACTCTTTATGTCCTCGGTTACCACAGTGATTACAAGTGGGATTTCTGAACGCACAGTTTCTAGCAAAATGCCATTCCCTGCAAAACCAACAGGTAGAAAATGGTTTAAAATGTGCTGAACTCACATGAACTGATTCTTTCTGAGGACTCCGGTTAAGGGTATGAATAAGATCTGGATTATTAGAGCTGGACCATTGTTGAATCGTTGCTGCATCACGTCTCAGGTTCGTCATTCTCTGACATTCATTGATTCCTTCCTACAGCGTAACCTCAGGGTTGTGCATGATTCTGTTCAGAATCCTTGTTCTGACATCGGCATCTTTGGTCGCAGGTGGACCACAAACATAGATGGGACGCTTATACTCATCGCCCGACATCTTGTGGAATTTGGAGCGTTCACATTCACAGTGCACGCGGCTCGAATAGGTAACCCAATCTTCGCTGTCTCTCTTGGTCATAGTAGGCTGACCCGCCGAACAACCTCCTCGTGGTGCCAACTGAGTGGTTTGGGTTTTTCCGTTCCAACGAATGGTTCGGCGGCAGTGTTCCAGGATATGGTTGGCTTTCGTCTGGCAAGCGTTCTCCATAGAAAAAAACCACAAATGTCCGTTTAACAACACTGCGACGTGGCGGATTTGACCCGCCACTAAATAAAGTCACTGCCGCTTGCTTCCCTCCGGCGAAGCATTGTATCGCAGCAGCTTGCTGCTGAATTAGTGGGGAGGATTGGGCCCTTGTTTGGCACCCGACCAAAGGAAAGGAACCGAGTATTCAGTCACCAGCTCCCAATGGGAGCGACCTCCAGAATTCGCCCCGCTGCCTTGTGGATAAGCTATTTAGCCAAAGGCTAGGTTCAAGCTAGCGACAATAAACGTGCGCAATCTAGTGCAGATCTGACAAGCGGGACTGGCGCGCATCTTGGAGACCCTTGCAATCGATGTCTGCTGCCTGACTGAGACACGACCTAGAATCCCAACAGAGTTTACCAGCTATCGTCCCCAATCCACCTCCACACCAGTTTACATCTCCGCCTTTCTGGTGACGCTGAGTCTGCCCCTTCTGGGCAAACTGGTGTTGGGATTGCGCTTAATGTTAGAGCCGAGGTTGCCCTTCATGATTGGATTCCAATCAACAGTTGTCTCTGTGCTATTAGGCTCAGTGGCTCCTGTAAGGTTAGCAGACATCGAGCCGATAAGTGTTCTCTTTTTGTGATCTCTGCCTATGGCCCCAATGCAACTCGGATGCAGTAAAGGACCAGTTCCATCAAACTCTTCATGATCTGCTCCTAAGGACACCTAAAACGGATTTCATCATTATGGCAGATTTCAACCCACGCGTTAGTCGAATGCTTCCATCTAAATGTCACCTCGGGGGACACATGGATATGATGATGTTCGCTCTGCTAATGGAGAAAGACTGCTCAGTCTGTGTGGAGACCACCAATATTTCCTCTCCAGTACGAGCTTTCATCAGCTCAGGCGACATTATGCTACCTGGCGTCCTCTATCATCAACCCAGCGTTAGTCGCAAATTGAACACATAGCCATAAGTCGAACGTGGCGTGGAAGCATAGGCGATTGCCGATCATACTGGTCTATTTGTGTGGAAACCGACCATGCATTGGTGTGTGCGACCGTTTGCATGCGCTTCCGGTGGCTCCCCATAGACCAAACAAGCCCGACTGAACATTTGCAAATTGGAAGATCCCGCAGTACAAACAGAGTACCAACAAAAGCTTCGTGAAAACTTTGCCCTCTCCTCTTCTCTGGATGCAGACCAGCACTGGTTAGGCTTGCAAAACACCATGCTGTCCGCAGGTTTGTCCAGCTGCGGCCTCGTCCGTTGCATAGCGAAAAGCTGGATTTCAACAACTTCCTCCAAACTTCTAGGCTGTCGACGCGCCGTGCCCGCTGGCACGGAACACAAGGTAGGCTGTCGGTCTATTACTCTACAACTGAAAGCAAATCTTCGCTCTGACCGTGAATCCTGGTGGTCTAGGCGTGCTGCTGAGATGGAGGCCGCTGCATCGGTTGGAAACTGCCGCAGTTTGTTTCGTCTCATCAAGGCCACCGGTTGCAATTCACACGCCATCAGTCAGACAATCTGTGAGTTAGACGGCACAAAAATCACCAACCTGCAGAGGCGATTAGAGCGCTGGGCAGAGCACTTTGTTCTTCAATTTAACTACCCAGCACTTCCCTCTGTGACACCATCTGCATCGGATGTTACCTGGCCTGCCCCCAGTTACCCTCCTACCGAAGTAGAGATCCGAAGCGCAGTCAGTTCTTTGAAACGGCATAAAGCTGCCGGCCGTGATAGTCTTCCTCCGACTCGTTTCACAGGTGGCGGGGATATCCTTGTTAACGAATTGCTCTCACAAAGGTCTTAACTCATGGGGAGATCCAATCGTTGTCCCGCTTCACAAGAAAGGTTCCCGAGAAGATTATGCTAATTACAGCGGTATCTCACTGATCTCAGTTGCTTCCAAGATTTTGGTGTTCATCTTACTTCGCAGGCTTTCATTTACCAGAGATTTTCCCAAGAAGAACAAGCCGGTTTTCGCCCAGGCCGAAGTTGCATTGATCAAATCTTCACGCTCCGACAAATTCTCGAGCTCCGCCACGTCCACCGTCGACCAACAATCATAATGTTCCTGGACATCCGCGCGGCATTCGATTTAGTAGACAGAGCTGCTTTGTGGAATTGTCTACTAAGGGTGTGCCCGACAAGTTTGTCGCCATTCCGAGAGAACTGTACAGTCACACGTCGGGCAAAATTAGGGGTTATGTTAGACTTTCCTCTTCGTTTGCTGTCACCAGCGTTGTTCGCCAAGGTTGCCCTATTACGCCTTTCTTCTTCAAATTTACCATCGAAGATGTCGTGCAACGAGTGATGGAAGGCGACCCGGTTCTACGTACAACTTAGCAAAATACACATACTTTAAAGGAACAATTCAGCTGGGAAAAGGGCACTGATGGATGGGCTGTCTGTCATCACCAACAACAGCAGTACACCAGTCATTTGAACGGATGCTTCGCCAACGCATAGTAAGAAAACCAAGGGAATAACGAGTAGTTAGAGGAAATGAAAAGGTACCTAGTGTGAAACCTACATACCCCACTAGACATACTCACAGAGAGCCGGTTAGTTTGCACAGAAACGGTGACACAGGTTAGACAGTTTAATTGTGGCTTTCAATACCGCGCGTCGTAATCAGCCATACCCTATGAATAACTGGGCATTTAGCAGACTTTAAAGAGGCGATTCGATTTTGAGATGACGACAGATGCACCACCGCTGTGAATCAGGTCGCCCAAGGTGTTGGGGCCAACTACAGGGTGGGTGGCGTGGACTCCAGCCTGGAAGGCGAGACGGACCAACAACACATGGTTTAGTTGTTGGTGGCTTCCTTTCTAATGGTCACATCAAAGGGTACCCCTCGAATCTTGCACTGTCCTAGGTCCGGTTAAAGAAAATAGCCCATCTTCGGAGTGTTGTACGAGAAAGCGTGTTACCTGCTCGAGTCGACGCAACACATCAGGACTGAATAACGGCAATAGACAAAACGGGAGGTTGGTGAATAGAGGCTACATTACAATCGACGGAATGCGCAGTAATTCACATTCACATGACCTTGCTCGCCGAAGAGAAATGGCGTCCGCCCAAGCTGCAATCTCTCCCAAAAGCGGTAAGAGCACGGAAGTGGGATGGAACGCAAGTGTCGGCGAAAAAAGCGAACGTGCAAAAATATGGCCGACAAGTGTATACAAGAAACCATCCGCTTATAACTGCGTGTACCTCAAAATGTGCGGTTGTCCATCAGTTGGAGGTGGACGGCTGGCAGATTCAGGATCTGATGGAATGGGGAATAGTCGGGAATTGAGGCAATACGAATAGACAGCAGGCATGTGCATCCCATTGCTCTGATCGGTGATCGCAGTACGCACTGGTCGTAGTTGATTGACACAAGTCAACACTCGATGTCCCGTGTGATGCGGTTGCGTCGGAGGCTGTTGTTGTGGAGACCGATTGCATGTGGCACTGGTTGGGAGGAAAGAGTAAGGAAAAAAGAATCAAGGTAGAGAAATAAGGGGGTGAAGCAACATATCGCTTTAACAGAGCAAGGAGCTCCTCGTACCCCGAAACAAAAGTCAGTTGTGGACTCAACAGGCTGCACAACAAACCAAATCTGAGCAAGTGCCTCAAGTTCACACACAAGGGCAACTAAACTTAAACCCAACGGGTTGAACTATCAGTCGCGGCGTAACGCAGACAGTGATGGGTTACTCTAAAAAAGAAAACTGAACAACAAGCCTCCGGTGCAATGCGTGTCTGTTCCGAAAACTAAAGTACGCAGTGAACAACCCTGGACCTCAAATGCCATCCAAACATCCGGCATGTGGATGTCTTGCGGAAGATTGAAAAAAGAAATCAGATCAACGTAGAAAAGTTACAGATAGACGGAAAACTCTGACTGACTTGATGAACTACCTCCTCGTGGCGCCAGCTGGGTAGTTGGGGTGTACCAGGATCCAGCGAAGTGTTGGGCGACAGTATTACAACTCGGTGGGGCACTGTAGTCAAGCAATTGTGCTGATTTGCTGGGGAGTATTGGGTCCCTGTTTAGTTATCTACCAAACAAAAGAAGTGTGAACTGATCATTCAGTCCGCGATTCCAAATGGGCGCGATTCCCTGCATTCGCCTCGCTGACTTGCGGGTAGGTTATTCAACCAAAGGCTCGGGGTGGGATGCCCTAAGTCAACTCCCTACTTCGGCTTGGGCAACCGGGTAGAATCACGCTCTCACAAAACCACGGACCGTTCTACAACGTGCACAGCTGCTACCGTTTCCGCTTCCGACATTCACCTGATTACATCACTCGCCGATTCTTGTTTGCTAATCCTTACTGTCCGTTACCCGATTCATGTGTACAAAAATATGGCTGCGATTCCGGCTGCGCCGAGAACCGTAGAGTTCAAACTATGGCTCTCCCTCGATTTCGATCGCCGTCCCGTCTGGGGTGCTTTAACGTTCGTACACTCATGCAGATTGGACAGCAAGCCGGTCAAGCGCGCACGCAAGAGCCTCATAACCATCCTACGGGATATGTTAAGCATTAGCTTTTTTACGCGTATAAAACCATTGTTCCATTGCCTGCTACCTTCCAGAAACCCGACTGCCAGACACAAGCACTGTGTGGAGCACCGTATTGATGGTGGGTTGCTGAACATCCGTCGTTTCGGTGCGAGAACTCTAGTCTGTGAGACAAATATCCGAATGTTGCTGTTTGCTGACGACTGTGCGTTGTTTGCACACAGCGCGGATGAGTTGCAGCACATGACTAGTGCTCTGGCTTCGACAGCGGCTAAATTCGGGCTCACCATCAACACAAGCAAAACTGTCTGTCTCTTGCAGCCTTCACCGGAGGTGTAATCTTCAATATTGCCCCGAACCAGCATTGGTGCTGAAGTATTGGAAACCGCCTCCCGCTTCTGCTACCTTGGGAATGAGATGTCGACTGATCAGCAGCTACACAGTGAGCTTCGTATCCGCGTGTCGAAGGCAGCAGCGGCAATCGGGAACCTAGAGTGCAGAGTGTGGAGCAACCATCAGCTTACCATTGGCACGAAGCTGATGTTATCCAACTCAATGGAGCTGCCCGTTCTTCCATACCGCTGTGAAACGTGGACGATGTACCGGCGCGATGTGCGATATCTCGAGCGGTTCCATCAGCAGTGTCTGCGACGGATTTTGCGCATCAGTTGGGGCGACAGAGTTGCAGACACGGAAGTGTTGCGACAAAGTGGGACTGCATACTTTTACTGAGACACCTGAAGTGGCTCGGTCATGTGAGCCGTATGGATTCGACGCGAATACCGAAACAACTCTTATACGGTCAGTTGAGTACTGGGAAGCGGCATGTGGGGAAACCAAAGTTACGTTACCAGGACATGATCAAAGTGAGCCTCTCACTTTCTAATTTTGATTGCAGATCATGGGAATCGAAGGCGGTTGATCGGCGTGCATGGCGCGATCTAATCACGAAGGCAGTTGCTGAAGTGCGGAAAAAAGACCTCATACATGCAAAGAATAAGCGGCAAACGCGGAAGCGGCAAGCACCGATGGGTTGTATTCCATCGGCTTCGAGCGCATGGTGCTGTAGCACATGCGGCCGCGAGTGCCTGAGTCAGTCAGACCTAGTGAGCCATGAGCGAGGCCACTCCGGACCACTACCGAAACGGCGACGGGTCCTGCAGAGAACGCAGGCAGAACCGGCGCAGCGTTTGTAAGTAAGCTGCATTCGATTTACTAACCGCGTGCTTGCATGTTAACTCGCTTTACTTCAGGCGATGGGTTTTCAATTTCGTCCTAATGCTTTCCGTTCTCATATAAATGTCTACCTGCACTCTCTTCTGTTAACTTGCACACCTCGCTTAAGCCAATTGTAGTCGATTTCCATAACATTTTCGTGTTCGTGGCATTTCCGTATAGTATACTTTCTGACCTTGTGAACTTATCTAGGATTCGTTTGTAAACAACTTAGTTTGCAGGTTGCTCCTTTTCCGGTTGCTTGCTATGCCATCAGTCCAGCATTTCGCTTCTTAATATGCTTTCCAATCCGCTTACTGAGACAACGATCCGTTCTATCAATGTAACTGCTTCAGCAGCTATAGACGAATTAGCTCAGTTTTTACGGTTGTCAACCGAAACGAAAACGCCAGAATGCCGAAATTTGCCGAGGCCGTGACTCTTAATTGTCGCCGTCCTGCTGTTTGTGTACACCAAAGCTACCGACAGTAAGATTCAAATTAAGTCACTTGAATGATTGCGACCCTTTGCATGAGTGACAGTTGCACATTTGTTTTGCGTCAGTTTTCACTGTGTTATCGGCTGACTCCGTACTTTCACAGGTTCCCATTTTAGTCATGGACTCCATCATGGTGTTTACTTGCGCAGCTCACGATGCAAATAGTGAAGTGTTGCCAGGTGAAAAGCTACTTGAGCTTGGTTATGCGGACGATTTTGTCCAGCTTTTGAACGATGTTGGGGCGGCACAACCAACTCTAAATAAACTTTAGAGTGGTCCCATATGCTGCGCACCTTCCAAGTGCAAAGTGTTGCTGCAGGACCACCAGCCAGTTGATAAACCATGGATCCTTGAAGGCGAGGAATTTGAAGTATTTGATCATCTCACCTACCTTGGCAGGTGCATCGGTAACGATAGGCGCATAACGAATGAAGCCGGTTCATGCATTGCAAAAGCTAGGACTGCCTTCGTGGACCTGCGACACCTGTGGCGTCAGAAAGATGTTTACTTCCGTCTAAAAGGCCGTGTGTACAAGGCCACCATCAGGGACGTCCTACTCTTTGGGTGCAAAGCTTGGCCTCTCCGAGCTAAGGACCTGCAGCACCTTCAATACTTTAATCATCCTTGTCTGCGAAGTATTGCTAGTATTGGATGGCACTATCGTGTCCGCAACGATGGTGTGCGTAAGCGAGTACTAGGCAGTGATAACCTGACTGTTTCCTTAGAACAACAGATAGCACAGACTAAGTTGCGTCGGCTTGGGCACGTACTACGTATGCCGGTCACCGCCTACCGAGTACAGCCTTGTTTCATCTACCAGATGTATGGTGGCGCAAGGACGGAAGTAGGAAGAAAGTAACCTGGCAGTGGAAAATGAAGTCACCGACAACTAAACTCGGTGCCGTCGGTCCGTCTCGTCATCCAGACTGGAGTCCACATGACCTGCCTTGTGCTTGGCTGGAGACGTTACAGGACACGGCTCACAATCAGCACCTGTAGTGTATCTGCTGTCGTTTGGCTGAACTGCCAGTGTGTCTGGCGCTGAGTTAGCTGCAGCCTAATGAGTGATTATGACGCAGGGTCGGTGAAAGCCGCGAAGATGCTGTCTCATCGATGCTGCCTTATCTTTGCACGATCACCAGCTGTTTGTGATGGTGTGCTGTTAACACCAGGTGTAGGCGTCTTGATCCTGAATGTTTGTTTAGGGCATTAGAATTTTACTCTAGGTCCGCTTCTCTCCCACTCATTATTCTTCGTTCCGTAGGTCACCGTGATTGTACGGCAGCGAAGCATCAGTTCAAGTGGCTGATGCACAGCTGCTGATGAAGACATTCGCAAGGACAGCATAAATATCGGAAACGCGCTCATTCGATAGCATAGATCCTACAGTGGGTTTGACTTCGACCGGGGTGTGGCGCACTAAGCCGACAAAAGGAAAAGATGAGGCAAATTTCGGATAAGGGGGCACGACGATTCATGAGACAAATAAATAAATAAATCGTGTATTTATCGACATTGCAAGACATAGAGCGATTACGTGGTCTGATTATATTGTACAACATAAGCACATGGTGAAGAAAATCGTCCAAGTGTAACAATCTTTCATTTGAAATATTGGGAGTTTGCAATCAATTAAAAATAGTGCAATGAAGAGCTGATGGTAAGAATCGTCATCAGTTCAAGTAAAGTAATACGACCATCCATGGAACCGTCCCCTGGAGACCTGCCTCCATGCAGGGTAGTCCCTCGAGAGGTTTCATCCGCACTTCCCATCTGGCCATGTGCTGTTGGGCTTCAAAGCGGGTAAGCCTTAATATTTTGACTCGTTTTATTTATGGCTTTATTGGTTTTTTAGCTCTAAATATATGCAAAAGGCTCTCATCACATTGACACCTCTTTTTTGGCCATTGTTAAAAAAAAACAAATAAGCCATCAATAAGTTGAATTATTTGCCGCTGTCGTGTGCAAGTTTGTTGTCATCACATTTACTCAATATTTTTTCGACAGTTGTATATTTCGAGTAAATCCCGACGACATAATATAAGCAATACTCTGATACCGAGACCGTAATGAATGGTACTTACTCATCGAAGTCAGGTGAGACACACACATCAGAGTGTATCCGGCGGAATTTGGCCACCTCGTCAAATAAATCTGAACGGGACAGCCAGTTTTCTTTTTCCGTAAGCAATGGATGCACGGCGAGACCTGGTTGTGGTTGTGGGGTTTGAACTTTGGTCGGTTGATTGTCGAGCATTGCTGCGATCCAGTCGTAGCCGAGAAAGTCCAAACATTTGAGCTCGTCAGAATGAGTACCGTCGGTGTGAGACAGCTGGGCATGAGAGACCTGTTGGGTAAGCATGAGCGATTTTGAATAACAAGATGGAGAACTTGCTTTCGAATCGTTTCGCGTCTTAGATAGTGGCATGCCGTTGGTACATTAGAGAAACTGAAAAATAAACGATGTCGTGGATGATCAGTGAAGGCGGGCATCAGAGAAATTAGAGTTGAAGAGAAGTTGAGTATAACGACAGGAAGCAAGATAGTTCGCAGGTGAAAAATTCACTGGCGCATTGGTCAAAGGACTAGAAGAGCGAATGAAAATGCGACAAAATCTTTCCCGTTAGACTGCAAGCTGCACTGAAATGAACCCCGATTAGCGCACTCACTGGGATTGTAGCTGAGATGAATAACACCAGCTTTCACTAGCTCCATTGCTGCAATCTAAGACTAGCTTCGTGGAAAGTCGGTAGACGCTGGAATGGTTCGGGCACACTGTTTGTAGTCTACAGGTATCCCGTGTGGATGCGCGCGACCTGGTGGTATTCCTAGCCCCGGCACACAACTGCCGGTAGCTCTCCGTGACAGTGAAGTGCCAATGTGACGTACCGACGTACTGTTCATGTTTTTGAACAAAAAAGCAGGACTGTGGACTCAAGAAGCAGGAGATTGGAAACACAGAAAAGTAATACCGGGAAACTCCAATTCAGAGCAAAGATTTAGGTAGAGGGAAAGTATAGAAAACGAATGCAACTGTTCCATGAAAAAGTGATCACCCAGATGGAGTAAAAGACAGTCCTAATGGACTGAAGCCGCTAGGTTCTAGTCCCAATTTGCAAGAGACTAGCGTTCGGAATGCATCAACCATAGAGGAAGCGGTCTGAACTCAACTGCTTTTAAATTAGTTGGCTAGGTCGTCTTGCTGGTGCTGGGAACACCGCGTGAGCAACGAGCGTGTTCGACGCCTTGTTTGTGGCACAAGAAAAGGAACTGAACCGCTCAGCACCGTTATTTCACGCATCAGGCTCCGATGGCTCGGTCACGTGTTACGCATGCCAGCCCACCGACTCCCGGGATGTGCGTTGTTTACGCGCCGGGGGTGTGGATGGAAGAAGAGGAGGGGTGGCCAAGCGATGACTTGGTCCAGAAAAATGAAGGCCCACACTTCTGACCTGGCCACCGTTGGAACGTCTCGGCTCCCTGGTTGGGGTCCGGAAGACGGTGAACACGTTTGGTTGAACACACTTGCTGATATGGCTAGGAGGCGACCTCAGTGGCGTTCCTGCTGTGAGTTTCTTTGTCCCACCCCATCCCTTTTAGCCTCCCACTCCAACCACGATCTCATTACTTAGCCTTATATAATGTTGCATAGTAATTTTTTTGGTGCACAGCAGCCGGCTGGTAGCTTACCGGAACGATGCCCATCCGTTACCGGTAGCTCAGCCAGCTTGCACCGGTTGCTTTTTTTCTCCTTTTTTCTATGTATTGGGGCGCAGTAGCTGAGGTGTTCCCCACCTCTAGCTAACGTGCATGATGATGATGATGGTGAGAGCCAGATACACGAAGTGTATCTGGCCGCCGCGATTCGCCAAGACCTTGTCTAGGAACAGGTTGCCGATAAACAACACCAATCTAGCCAGGATGGCATCGGCGCATATCGACGCCTGTCTGGAACGAGAACGGAAATTTCTCGAGACACAGGGACGATCCGCTTGCACACTGAATGAGTTGCCGTTGGTTTGTCGATTAAAATTTGAGGCCTTTTCCGCTGAAGTTCTCCGTCGCACGAGAGCAAAAACAGTGCGCAGTCTGCAGGGTTCTCTTGCTAAAGTCACCAATGCTTGCTTTCCTACTGATTGCTTGAAGCACGTATACAATTTGTCCTCTGCTCAGTTCACGCGCACTCAATTGGAAGTTCTCTCGCTTGGAATGAAATACCGACTGCCGCCAAAAGCGCTAGACAAAGTCACCACGCAGGCGCATTTTGAGTATCTGAATGAACAGCTTAGTGACCTCACGCCAAGATCGACAGAAGATGCGGGTTGGTTTCGGGCGAAATTGGTAGACATTGCGAACCAGTTTCTGTGTACGCCGAGAAGTCAGAGGTGCTGTCTGCAACCTGAACATTATACGGCGATCAAGGAGTTGAAACAAATGAAACACCTAATGTTCCTGCAGCCGGATAAGGGATCGGGTATTGTAGTAATGAACAGGCCTGACTACATTTCGAAGATGGAGTCCATTCTGGGAGACACTCGGAAGTTCCAGTTAGATAATACACCGGAAAACAACATCCTGGTGGAGAAGCAGGTGGCAAGGAAGCTCCAGATTCTCCTGCTATATGGTTACATCAATGAGTCACAGTACAGGCATGAACAATTCACCTTATCACAATGTCGCGCGGTGGCTGGCCAAACTATTAGATCCGGTGCGTAAACACCTCGCTACGTATTGCCTGAAGGACTCCTTTGAACTGGCTAAGACACTGGAACAATTGTCACTGAGTGCAGAGTTTATGTACTCAATAGATGTGGACTCCTTATTCACAAATGTGCCTTTACGTGAGACAGTTGATAATTTATGTGATTTTATTCTGAGTCAAAATATCTCTGTTGGCCTGCCAGTGGAGTATTTAAAGGATATGATTCTATTGTGCACCGAAAACATACGGTTTGAATTTGAGGGGACCGCATACAAACAGATCGATGGGGTCGCTATGAGCAGCCCGCTGGGACCAGTTTTAGCCGACATCTTCCTCGGCCTGATAGAAAGACAAGTTTCTGAGAGCATTGGTGAAGCGAAATTGTATGGACGATATGTGGATGACATTTTAGTCTTCACCAGCGGAGAACATTTCAATCGGCTGCTGACCATCCTAAATTCGATTCACCCTAATCTGTCCGTATCCCATGAAGTGGAGAAACACCACTGCCTGGCGTTTTTGGATATACTCATTAGGCGACAGGCTGAAGGTACGTTGCAGCGCACTGTTCACCGCAAATCGACTTGGACTGGACAGTACCTTCATTTTTCAAGCTTCGCCCCGATCGCATACAAACGCGGGTTAGTGAGAACTCTCTTCTACCGGGCTAGGCGTATTTGCAGCCCCGAGACCTTACAAGCCGAAGAAGAATTTCTACGCAAGACCTTAATTTCTAATGGATATTCTGAGAAGTTTATTCAGGTACACAGCAGACCTCCCAGCGTGAAAACACCGGTGTTGACGGCTGAGAAAAAGAATGTTTATTTGTTCTTGCCGTTCAAGGAGGACCATGTGACAAATGACATCGGACGCAAGCTCCGGTCCGCCCTAACGCGAACCTACACGACAGCCCAGTTGCGACTCAGGCATACCACGCGAGCACTTGTTCTTCATAACCGGCAGAGCATCTCGTCGGGTAGTTCGGACTCTCACGTTGTTTATCAGATCACCTGCGGTTGCGGTGACATTTATATAGGCAGAACAAACTGTCAGTTAGCTCAGAGGGTAGCTGAACACTTGCCAAAGTGGTTGGGACAAGTGATTACGCAACAACATGGGACGCATCTGAGAATCAATCGGAACCCGGCATTGTCTATCACCAAGCACCTCATGGCAACCCGTCATCACGTAAACCCCGAGACAGCGTTTAAAGTGTTATTACGTAACAAGAACTAGATACACGAAGAGTAAGCCGGATTTCGCCGAAATGGAGGATGTTTTGATCACATCTTCACATTACGCTAATTGCTGGAACACTGCTACATATACTGGCGGTCAACTCCAGTCGTGATTCGCGACATCAAATGTGTCTTCGATTAAGCGGATCGATGTGCCCTTAGGAAGTGCCTACTCAGGAAAGGTATCCGATAAACATTATCAGAGCGCTGTAAGCGCGCATAGTTCGGGTAAGAAGAGAGCTTACGGCAATTTGTCTCCCCCTTCAATATTTCCAGCGGTGTGAGATGAGACTGCCCGCCGTAACCTTACCTTGCTAATTTTCCCATCCTCACTTCGAAGTTGGCGTCGGTTGGTGCATCCCGACTGCCTGGCTGGGGTCCTAAGGACGGTGAACACGTTTGATTGGACACACTTGCTGATATGGCTTGGAGCCGACCCCAATGGCGTTTATGTTGTGAGTTTCTTAGTCCATCCCCGTTCTGCTTAGCATCCTCCTCCAATCACGATCTCACTAGTTAGATATAATATAACTCTCTTTTTAAGGCACGGTAGCCAGCTGTTAGCTCTCCGGAACGATGTCTATCCGTTACTGGGGACTCAGCCGGCGTGCCACTGTTTGTTTTCGTTTTCTTGTCCTTTGTATTGCGGCACAATAGCTGAGGTGTTTTCCACCTGCAGCTAACGTGTATAATGATGATGATAATGAATTTTCCCATCGGGGGAGTCATGAAAACTGCGTTCACTGCATACAAACTAAATGGTGTGGACCATCATCATCACCAACAGTAGTGCATTAACCATTTGTACTGATGCTTCGCTAACATAAAACTGTAAATAGGTACGGTATGAAGAGTAATAAGTGGAATAGAAGGGAGACCTAGAGTATAACCCCAATGCCCTAAACACACATTCAGGGTTAAGGCGCCTACACCTTATAAACAACATACTGTCACAAACAGCTATCGTGCAAAGATAAGGCAGCATCGGTGAGACAGCATCTTTGCGACTTTCACTGCCCCGCGTCATAATCAGTCAGTACTCCGAAGATAACTCAGCGCCAAACACACTTTCAACAGGCAGTCCGACTAGTAGACGACAGCAGACGTGGACCTGGTTCCAGGTGAGCGACTTCCGGACTTTGGAGTATGTCGACGACATTGCTAGTATAAGTGACAGCTCGTAAACTTATCAAGTAGTACTTAATAGACTACCACTGGTTGTCATCCATTTCGGAATTTACTCTGCACCTTCGAAATGCAAACGCATCCTCCAAGACTGGCCGGGGCACACCTCTGCGCTTACCAGCTAGAAGCCGTCAAGAGATACAAGTATCTGGGTAGCTATGAAACCACTTATCAAATAGAACGTGATTACAAATCGAACAGCAAAAGCCCAAAGTGTCTTAACCTACGAGAGATGTTCAAAAAGAAACCAACTCTTATCAGAAGATCTTTACTGCTCATTGCACATTTTGAGCACTTCCATCTCGAAGTAGTCCCCTCTACTGGTAATACACCGTTCCCAACAATGCTTTCATTTTTGGAAAACCTCCAAGTACGCACTTCCTGGGATGGCGCGCAGGCCCCTTGTCGCATTATCCTGAATTTGGAAACGATGTCATTTTAACGTGGTTATAAGTTTGGGAAACATGAAAAGTCTACAGGGAATAGGTCTGGAGAATACGGTGGATAAAGCATAACGGGTGTGTGATGTTTCGCCAGATAACTGCGGACAAGTAGAGATGGTTGGGTCGGCGCACTCCGAGTGGGGGCGTCGCTCTTTATGTGAGTCGTAAACTCGATGTCATCATCATCATCATTATACATGTTAGCTAGAGATGGTAAAACACCTCCGCTATTGTACCGCAATACATAAAGGAAATACATACATACATACAATACATCAAGGAAAAATAAATACGACAGTTGAATGCCAGCTGAGCTACCAGCAACGGATACGCATCGTTCCGGTAAGCTACTAGCCGGCTACTAGGCAAAA